CAGAACAACTTGCCTCTTGTTCACTGACCTCAAACCTATGGAAGTTGTTGCTGTACATGTTGGAACTTGTTTTTTTCTCCATGAAACCGCTCTTCACATGCCAATCAGAGAAATAATGACTGTGATCAGAAACTACCAAGACGTTACAAGCACACTATCCTGATTTTTAAATAAAGTTGACTTCCAAACAGGATTTTATTTTATAAGAAAGTCACTGAACATATTTAAATATTTGTTTTAATACGATAGCTACTTTGGAACATCATTGAAGCTTCTTCAAACCTGGCAAAACATTACTTATTTAACTACAATAATGCCTTCCAAAGTTTTAATTTTTAGGTATAAGGCCATAGTATTGTACATAGAAAAGTAAGCCTCATTTAATGTACATTTTAAGTAAAAGTGTCTACCTATGTTTCTGTGGAAGAAACTGCTCACAAGTAAAACAGTACTTCGTGAAGAATAAGCCCTACCTCCTTGTGTTGTACTCATTAAGTGCTTTTCCAGGCATAAAGAGTTGTCTCAATCCCATTTTTATTTTTTCTACACATTTAACAGTGTCCCCTTCTTACAGAAAAGATTGTACATCTGTGCCTTTCATACAAGTTGAATCATAAAAGATGTTGTATGTTATGTGTGTATGTATTTAAAATGTATATTTAATAATATCAAAAGATGCCTGTTAATTTATTATGTATTTGAAAACTTATGTGTTTTTTCATTTGTAAAAATGAGTTGTTTAAAGAATCAAGTCTTGTCATGTAAGTTTATATTCCCTTATCTCTAATTTTAATTTCAGAATCCAATAAGCTCTGAAAACAAGGTTTTCAGAAGCTTGGTGAAAAAATTTATTTGCTTGCAATCTAATCTGAACTGATATTTAATATTTTTATCCCATTTAGTATGAATATTCATGTATTTTGCTGCAGAAATATTAACAATTTTGATGGGGGGGCGATTGTGCCATAGACTCTGAGGGTTAATGTAGTATGTTATATGCAYTGAAGTCCTTTCTAAAATCTGAAAAGTTCATAATTCTTAAATATCAGACCCCAATGGTTTTAGACAAATATAGTGGATCTCTATCTTTTGTTAAATAATTTAGAAGGCATTATTTATTTAAAAAATGTGTAATTCTTTTGTATTCTAGTTTTTCACTTTATGGATTAAATGATTTTTAAATTCTGAAGAAAGAATGAATAACACCAGAATTTACTTGATCTCTCTAACTGTAACTTAGTACTCCTTGACCAACCTTTCTCCAATCCTCCTTCCCTATTTCCTTCCCCAGCCTCTAATAATCACTGTTCTACTCTTAGATTCTATGAGATTAACTTTTTCTAGTTTCCACATTTAAGATCATAGTATATACATTTGAGTAAAGATAGAAGAAAGGAATACAAAGAAATGATAAATATTTGAGGATATATATATTTTTTTTCTAAAATTTGTACATTATATAATACATACATATTTAAAAACATCCATGATACCCTGGAATAAGTATAATTATTATATGTCAATTAAAGATATAAAAATAATAGAAAACAAATTATTGGTGTTATCTTAAAGACAGACACATGAATGCATCTGTTATCTTATAAACCCAATTAGATTATTATACTGATTTTTAAATAATTTGGTATTAAATCATCTTATAGAAGAGAAAAGGATCACACTATATCCACAAGTAGAGATAAACATGGGACAAGTATAAACAGGAATTTATAGATAGATGAAGATTCAGTTCCTTTGTCCAAGTCCCCTGGACATAGACTTGGCAGTGCACAAAGAGTTTCCCTAGAGCCAGGAAAGACCAAGTGTAAGTGAGTCTCCTGGGAAGAAGGCATGGGCAAAAGGTAGACAAGTACTAATATATTCACCAGTSTCTGCTTTTGTCTTCCTGCTTAGTGCCTGCTGTGCCCACTATGCTTTCTAAGCAAAGACCATAAACTTCAGAGAAGATAAAAATCGCAGAACTGGTCAGTTTTTCCATAATAAGTACAAATATTTGAAGAATTTTCCACTCAACAAAATAGGACAGATGGATTATGATGAATGGTTAAAGTACTAGGGGAGACTGGGTGATCTCTAAGGAAAGCTCCACAGAAAATGAAGACAAACTTGGGAAATGTTAGCAGGCATCATTCCTGGGCAGAAGGGTATGGGKTTAAATTAATAGGAAAATGAAAATTCAGTGTACATTGCAAATTTACCCAAGTTTGGGGAAATTCAGGCAGGTCAAGGATTATTATGTATTGGACAGGGGGACAAAAGTTATATTTCCTATTCTAGAAGAAAGCTATTAGTATGTGTTGTCTCTTAAGAACAAATACATAAGAGTGGGAAAAGTAGTTTTGTAACATAATTAAATGATTCCTTTCCTCAGATACCATAGAGATCTCAAGGCTCTGATTTGGGTTCTGAAAATAAGAGAATAAGAAAAATAAAGAGAATTTTGCAGCCCTACATTCTTTAAAATAGAGCCTGCTAAAAGGTACATTTACGGCAAAGAAAATAGAGAAGAATATGAAGCTACAGGCATTTGCTTAAGTATATGAAATCAGGATATTAAGAAGAAGGTAAGAAAGACGGCATTGGTGGTCTGCAACTTAGAGCTGGTCAAAGATGTTATAATCATGTTCTGCAGAAAATTGGAATTACCTTAATTTCTAGATTATAACAGAAAAAGTAAGTATAAGTAAAAGCAAGAGAAYGGCCATGTGTTTATATGAGCACATGTGATTGAAATATAATGCTATGATTGAATGAACATGTATAAGTGTAGGAATGTATAGTGAAATTATAGCTAATACAGAGAACAAACATGGACCAGGTCCCATGTTATTTCAATGCATTATCACATTTAATTCTCACAACAAACTCTCAAGATAGGCATTATTATCAGTGTTCCCATTATACAGAAGAGGACATTCAAGTACATATTTGCTAAGTCTTCTATTCAGGATGATATTATCAATAGCTTTGCTCTAACCTGAAGTCAGTCCTTTTAAATTTTGTGAAAGGTGAATGTGTGGGACAGCATGAGACTGATGGTTAAAATGTAGACTGTAGTACATGTCCTGAAAAGAAGGGGTGTCTCTACAGTGGTGCTGCTTCCTATGGGTTTAGAATATGGGAAAACTCCCTACTCTGTTCTCTAAGCCAGTTCTTTTTCCCAGAAAAACCATGTGGTCAAAGACAATTTAAAAATGACCAACTAAATATTACTGAACTACCTCAGTGGTGGATGCCCGGGATGGAGAGCAAGGGACAATCTCCTTCCAACTATCAGGCAAGGCTGAGCTCTGGCCATGAGTTCTTCAATGGAAAGGGATAGTGGTGCATCACATCCTTCAGTCTTTTGGCGTAAGCCATGGTCAGATCTCTATTTCAATGGATAAGAGATTACTATTGTTTGGCTGCCATCCTCCTTGGTGGAGAGTGAACAATGAATGGACAAAAAATTGAGCAGAAGGTATGGGCAATGATCTGAAAGCAGGACCTCAGTTTAGTCTTTACATATGAGGGTGGTATTTAATGGAGATAAACATTCATTCATAATATTTTAAGAGATGATCCTGTGAAATCTATTTACCTGACCAAAGACTAAAATAGTGGAGATAATTCACAGAAATGTTCTGCCATCCTTCTTCACAAGGTCCATCTGTGCTTGTGCTGCACTCGTGTAATCTCCTGCTTCTCATCACTGTGGACCAGAGTCAGAGATAATGGCTAATATTTAGAAATACTGACCTAACAAGTGAATGGAGAGCAGGGCTCAGATACAGTGTTCTCAAACCTTCTATGTATGTTTGTCATGAAAGTGAACTGGAAGCTCAAACTCTGAATGTGTCAATGATGTACAGCCTGATGGACATGTGCCTTTTGCCAGGGGAAATCTGAAGATCTGTCTCCTCTGTCCCTGACCCATTTCCTGTGGATTCCAAAGTTACAATGGATTCATTGATTCACTTGTTAATCCACATTCCGTCATTATCTGTGTGTTTTCCAGTCATTGTCCTAGGCATTTTGGTCACAGTCATGAAGGGCGGCATCTTGAGTTTTGAAAGATTGCAGTGTAGTAGACAAAAATTTCAATGCAGGAGGGGAGCATGCATTGAGAAGCAAATGCTGATGGGGCACTTGACCCAGTTTTTATAGATGAATTCTAAATGTAATCGTGAACCTTGAATCACCAGGTAAAGATTGGAAAAGGATGTAATAGGAGGAGGGAATAATATATGCAAAGCCACAGGGACAAAAGAGATCATATAAACCTGGGGAGCAAAAGAAGGGTGAGTATGTGTGGAGCATGGAGTATTATTTATAGGGTCATGAGAGATGAGACTGGAGAAGTAGGTAGGGATCGAACTATGAGGTACTTTTCATGTATGATAATTAAAATTTGTCATATTTCATTCACTGATGTGAAGTCAATGCTGTATTTAAGGAATTTTTGAACAGCAATTATTATTTTAAAATTTCCATACATTGTACACTGAACAAATTAGGCAGGCTCAAAATAAGTCAGCTAACAGATCACTCAAATACTAAACTTTAAAACTTTATCTGATCCTATGATATTTTCTGGCTTCTTTTAGAAAGGAGTACATCTTGTGCACAGTTACTAATTGATCAAAGTCCTTGAACCAATGAGAGACACAGAAAGACAGAGAGACATGGTGTCCATGATCATTGAAAAGGAGCTATGAATGAGATAGATCATGATATTGAAATCATTATCTTCAAGTAAGTGAGAGTTGGTGTGGAAGGCAATTTTTGATCCAGGAAGAGTTTCATAAGAAAAAAAGAAAGTTAATGGAAATTTGTGCTTCAAATTTGAAGAAGAGTCCCTATTAACAGAAATTATTTTATGAGTCTGATTAACAGGAAAACACAATTGCTAACTTATTTTGGTATTTGGTCTGATGCCATAGACATCTTCATTTTTGTGGTGTTACCATAGAAGACTTTAGTACCTCCAAGTGCTGTCAGTCATGCAGCAGATGAACATCACTCTGGTCAGTGAGTTCATCCTGGTGGGCTTCCCCACTGCCCCATGGATGCAGCTCCTGCTCTTCTTCCTCTTCCTCATGGTCTACTTGTTGGTGGTAGCAGAGAATCTTGTTATCATGTTCACTGTTTGGGACACAGTCTCTTTCCATAAGCCCATGTACTATTTCCTGAGTAGCATGTCATTCCTGGAGGTCTGGTATGTCTCTGTCACAGTCCCCAAGATGCTGGATGGATTCCTCCTGCAGAGACGGCACATCTCCTTCACAGGTTGCATGACCCAGCTCTATTTCTTTATCTCTCTAGCCTGCACAGAGTGTGTGCTTTTAGCAGCCATGGCCTATGACCGCTATGTGGCCATCTGCCACCCTCTTCGATATCCAGTCATCATGACCACAGGTTATTGTGTGCAGCTGGTTGCTTTCTCCTACATGACTGGCTTCATGATCACCGTGATCAAAGTCTATTTCATTTCACATGTCACCTTCTGTGGCTCCAATGTCATGAACCACTTTTTCTGTGATATCTCACCAATCCTCAAACTGGCATGCAAAGACATGTCCACAGCTGAGTTGGTAGATTTTGCATTGGCAATTGTCATTTTAATCTTTCCTCTCACCATCACTGTCCTTTCTTATGTCTACATAGTGTCCACGATTTTGCGTATATCCTCTACTCAGGGAAGGATGAAGGCCTTCTCCACCTGTGCATCCCACCTCACTGTAGTCATAATTTATTACACAGCCATGATTTTCATGTATGCCAGGCCAAGAGCTATTGCATCATTTAATTCCAACAAACTAATCTCAGCTGTGTATGCAGTCCTCACACCCATGCTAAATCCTTTCATCTACTGTCTAAGGAACCAAGAAGTCAAGAATGCCATCAAGAAGACCTTGGGGGGAGGCAAATGCCTCCTGCTCAGCTGATCTCTGCTTCCTTGAGGAGGAGACAGTGTCCCATGCAGAAGTTCTTTGCATGACATTTGTCATGGTCCTTTTTATTACCAGCGCTTTTCTACAACCTGGATTCCTAAAAAATTTATAGTATGTAAAAAATTTTAAAGGAAGATGCTTACTATGTATTGTTTGAACCATTAAAAAGTCATGCTTTAACCATTTTACACCATAGATACTTAGGTACTTTAAAACAATATAATAATATAATATATTCAATTTTAATACATATGCTTGCATACATAATTGTATATTTAATGTACGTTTGAAATATGCATGGTGTCAAAATACAGTTCCTGTTCTCAAAAATATCTATTAGTTCTCACCAAATGAATAAACTTAGTTCTTTTGTTTGCTTTTCCAGTTTCTTCACAGTACATTTTAATTATCTCTTTGTCTTTAATTTCATATCTTGCTCATGACGAACTTGTACAGATAAATATTAGGTTGTGATTATTATCACTTTTAAAAAGTTTGCCCAGGGACCTAAAGGAAAGTGTCTTGTTTTCAACTTAGAATCATTTCTCAGGGCAAAGTTGCTCTCCCTGATTGTCATGTTCCATAGTTTTATTTTATGAAGACCAACAGTCCCAACCTTCCCAGAATTTGTTCAATTCACCATTCACCTTTAGACAAAGAGTATAAGAGGAGGAGGAGGAGGAGGAAGGAATCTCCTCTAGGATTCCTCATTTTCTCAGGCCTTTGCTTCAGCTCATTTCAGCCACATTTGGCTATTGCCTCAGACACAAGTGCAGCTCTTGGGTATTCATTCTTTTAAGACTTCTAGCAACCAATTCTAGAGTTTAATGGTTACTTGAGGCAGAATTTGTAGCAGAGACTCTGGGGCCTCCCTAGGCTATGGTCACCTCTATTGACAGGGAGGCTGCCACTTCCCCTGTTCTGAGCACACAGTGCATCCTTTGGCAGTGTGTGTCCCTTCAGTGACTGCCTGCTTCCTGGAGTCCAAGGCAGTGGTTAGGACCTCTAGTCTCTGCAGAGGCCTCATGATTCTGTCCTCTCACCTTTTGCTCTCATTATTCCACATGCTTTGCTGTGCTAGTCTCTCTACACTGAAAGTCTTCTCACCTCATTCTTATTGATCACATCCTAGTCATGGTTTATATTCTAGCACAGGTAATATTCCATATTTGTGTAGTTAATGCAAAACAGTTTTAGAATTCTTTGTCATTGTTGTTTGTTTTTAAGAATTTTTCATGTTTATTTGTAAATGTAACCTGCCCACAGTTTTCTTTTCAGCACCCAACTTTATTGAGATATGTTTGACAAAAATCACATTTATTTAACTCGTTAAGTCTCAGGTTTTCAATTCTGCTAATATTTAAATGATTGACCTAGTGCATTAAAATATGTTGAAAATAATAATCTAGAGCTTATATATCCTTTATATATTTTCATATTATATATGTATGTATTCAAAGCTCTAATCATTCATGTATTACTTCTCAAAAGAATAGGCCTCTAAAAACATAATAACTAATTCAAAGTTACTATAAGTGGAGTATTTGTTGCATAATTTACATCTTTATACTTGTTCCACATTTGGAACTTGGGGACAAAATGAGTTTAGTCATACAATATGATGATTTCACATATGTATACATTGTGAAATGATTCCACAATCAAGCTAGTTAACTTACCCATCACCTTGTATAATTACCCTTTTTTGTGTGTGTATGCTGAAAACCCTTAGTATTGACTCAAATAGCAAATGTCAAGTACACTATACATTACTATTAGCTTAGTAACCATGCTATACTGTAGATCCTCAGAAATTATTTGTGTTGAAAATGAAAATTTGTACCATTTGGCCAATATCTCTAGTTCTTCCCAGCTACCCCGTCCCCTAGTAACCATTATTCTTCTTTCTGTTACTATGAATGCAACTTTTTAAGCTTTTGCAGATAAGTGAGAGCAGGCTGTTTCTATTTGTTTCTGCCTTATTTCAGTTAGTATAATGTTTCTTGTTGATGCAGGACATCACAAATGGCAGGAATTCCTCCTTTTTAAAGAGTGAATACTATTCTGTGATACAGATAAACCACATTTTCTTTATTCATTAATCTGCTGACAGATGCTTATTTTACTGACTTTTTCTATTATTTTTCTAGTTTCTATTTCCTTTATTTCTGCTTTGATTTTTTATTTCTTTGCTTCTATTGACTTTAGGTTTAGTTAGTTTGCTTTTCTTTCTAGTTCCTTGAGATGTAGAGACAGGTTGCTTCTTTGTGATCTTTCTCTTTTTTTTTCCTATTATAGGCATTTATTGCTATGAATCTCTCTCAAAACTGTCTTTGTTGCATCTTTTAATTTTTGATATGCTGTGCTTCCAATTTTTGCTTGTCTCAAGATATCTTTTATTTTCTTTTTAATTTCTTCATTTATCCATAAGGTAAGAACACATTGTTTAATTTCCACTCATAGTGAGTTTTCTACTTTCTTCCTAGTACAATTTCTAGTTTCATACCATTCTAGAAAAAAAGATATTTGGGGTTGGGGCTGGGGCTCAGTGGTAGAGCACTTGCCTGGTATGTGTAAGGCACTGAGTTCTATCCTCAGCACCACATATAAAAATTAAAGGTCCATCAATAAAAACAAAAAAACAAAAAAAAATTTTAATTAAAAATTGATATGATTTCTATCTTAAGTTTGTTAAGACTTGTTTTGTGTTTTTCAGGAAAAAAATGTTTCCTCTCTCTCTTCCATCTCTGAAACACAGCTTCATTGTGTGAAGTATTCTTGGCTGGCCCTTTTTCTTTCAGCATTTGGACATACCATCCCCTGTCTCCAGACTTGCAATGCCGGTCTCTGTTGAGAAGTCCATCAATCTCGTGATAGGGGTTTCCTTCACATGACAAGCCTCTTTTCTCTTGCTGCTTTCAAATTTCTTTCTTCAGCTTTGATTTTTAACTACTTGTTTAAACCTTTTCTGTTATGGTTGCTCTGATATTATGCTATAAACAAAATATATGAATAACAGAAAACAATTTTTCATAATTCTGAAGAAGATCCAGGTGCTTCAGATCCAGTGTCTGGTGAGGCCCTTCTTTCTGGTGAACACAGGATGCTTCTGCTGTGTCCTTACATGGTGGAAGGGATGAGGCAGCTGTCTGTGGCCTCTTTTCTATGTGTGTGTGTGTGTGTGTGTGTGTGTGTGTGTGTGTGTATGCACGCACATGCACACACGGTACTAGAGATTAAACCCAGGAGTGTTATAGCACTGAGCTACATCCCCAACCGTTTTTTCTTTTGAGACTGTATTGTTAAATTACTTAGAGCCTCATTAAGTTGCTGAAGCTGGCCTTGAATTTTCAATCTTCTTGCCTCACCCTCCAGAGCTGGTGGGATTATAGGTGTGCATCACCATACTTGGCTTCTGTGGTGTCTTTGATAAGAACATTAATCCCATTAATCCAGAAAGTCTGAGTCTTAAAGATCTAATTACCCTCCAAAGGCCCCATATCCTAATATGTTTATACCGGTGATTAAGTTTTCAACATATCAATTTGAAAGAGGGAGCATAGACATTCAGAGTATGGCAGATTGTTATGTCTCATTGAAGCATCTTTAGGAAGAACCTGTTTAGAGACCTTTGAGCTTCATGTACTAGATTTGGGAAAGTTTTTTTTTAATAATTATTTTCTTTAAATAAACTTTCTGCTCATTCCTTTCTTTCTTTTTAAACTATAGTATTAAGACTGGTTTCCCCTCTGCATTGTGTTCCATAAATCCTGTAGGCTTTCTTCATTTTTTTTGTTCTTTTCTTTTCTCCTCTGACTGAATAATTTTAAATGACCTGTCTTCAAGTTTGCTGATTTTCTTTTTCATGATCAAGACTACAATTAGAATCCTTTATTTCATTTTTCATTTCAGTCATTATATTATTCATCTTCAAAATTTGTTTCATTCTTTTTTATGTTTTTATATGTTTCTTGAACTTCTCATTTTTCTCCTTATTATTTTCCTTATTTTATTAAATCATTTATCTGTATTCTCTTATAGCTTACTGAACATCTTTAGAACAATTATTGTGATTTTTTTTTTGTCAAGCAGTTGATGTCTCTCTTTTTGGGGGGTTTCTTACTAGACATTTGTTGCATTTCTTTGATAGTTTACTATTTTCCTAATTCTAATGATCCTTGAAGCTTTGCAAATTTGTTTGCACATTTGATGAGTAGCCACCTCTTCCTGACTTTGTGGACTGGCTGTGGGTTAGGACACACTTTTACCTACTGGAGGAAGTACAATATTACAAGCTATGGGTCTGTATCTAGTGGCATAAGCCACCCATATCAGTATGTGTAGTATCTCTGAGTTCAATGGAGTGCAGTTTCTGGTTGGCTCAGGCAGCTGCTATCTGCAACATCAACAATTGCAAGGTCCTTTGTTGCAGAGCTGCAAGGGGTCACAGTGACTATGAGGGCTCTTAGGATATTTAGAGTTACATCTTTCTCCAGCATCAAGGACTAGGACTGTGGGCAGGACCAGGACTTACCACAGGCATATGCATGGAGGACTATAGCATGCATATATCAAGTTATGGGGTCTAGGAATAGTAGTGTACCTGTATATGACTGTAGGGAACAGCTTCAGGTTCCTGCATGGGCTGGGACTGGAACAAGGGCCAGAACTAGAGATCAAAATTATTTGCCCTAATRGTCTATGCATGTATAATTTTATCAAAATGGACTCTACTGTTATGTATAACTAAAAAGAATCCCTGCCCCCCCAAATTACTTATCATCATACTGCTTTCAAATATTTTCTTATCATGAGTCTGGAATGACATCTATTTGAAGAAATATTTTCTTTTTTTGTATCATAAAAGTTTTATTCATAAAAGTAATATAATCACATTGGAGAAAATATAGGAAATGGAAAAATACAGCGTATATGTGTACATATACAAAACATATTTCATATTTTATAATCTCCATTATCACCATCTTCACAAAGCCACTGTTATTCTTTTGTTGTATTTCCTTCTAAATTTTTTCATTTGTCTATATTTTTACTAGAGTCTGAGTGAATGTATGATATAGCCACTTGCCCTTTAAAACCAAAAGCAGCATTATAAGATGGGCATTTTTTCTACTTATGTAGTAGTTACCCTAACCATTATTTTAATGTCTATAAAATATCCCATCGAGTGAGTATGTTACAGCATATTATCTAACCATTCCACTATTGTTGAATGTTTATCTCCCTTCCATCACCCTTTTATTGGCTATTATAAGTAAGAGAGACAGTACCATCTTCAGGTACACATTAACCATATTTTGGATTGGTTTATTTTCTTAGACTAGATTGCCAAGAGTCATCTCAAATTTGGTAGAAAAGAATATTGTTTTGATTTCTCAAAGCATTTATAATGCAAAATATTTTTCCTACTCATTATTTGTCTCAGCTTCTGTGAATTGTCCATGTCTTTTGATCATTTAATCTAAATATTCATGCTAAACTAATTAGAAAAGATTTTTTAAACTTTTTGTTGTATTTGCTATGACTATTTTTGCCTCTTTATTTTGCTAAAATTTTTAGCTGTAAAAGTAATAAAATATCATTGCATAAATTTTGAAAATAGAGAAAAATTTTTTTTAAATCATGAAAAATCTTGCCATCATAAGATTATCATCATCATTCCCAGTGTTTTTTTCTCTTACGTGTGTGTTTTACAAAGTGATAACTTCAATGTACACACAATTTTAAGACCTAGTTTTTTATTAACACACATCAAATATTTCTCTGAAATACCTTATAATCTTAATAGTCATCATTAAAAGTAATAGTACAGGGTTGAGGGTGTACCTCAGTGGTAGTGTGTACTTAGCATGCATGGGGCCTTAGGTTCAATTCCCAGTACCCAAATACACATGCACATAAAAACAAAACAAAAATGATAGCACAATATTCCATGGATTAGATTCACCATTTGCTTATTGCTAAACATTAATGTTATTTCATTTTTTTAAAAAAAATATTTTAGTTGTTGATGGACCTTTATTTTATTCATTTATATGTGGTGCTGAGAATTGAACCCAGTTCCTCACATATGCTATGCAAGCACTCTATCACTGAGCTATAACCACAGCCCCAATGTTATTTCAATTTAAATTTTTTATGTTATCCTATATGAAAATATTTTTTCCATATTTTGAATTATTATCTTTAGGAATATTCCCAGAAGTAGGATTACTAGATCAAAGGACATTAATACATGTTGGCTGCCAAAATGCTTTCTTAAGAGGTTGATCAAACCATAATTAACCAGTAGACTGAGTACCATCTTTTTCATTTCTGTTTAATTCAGACTAAAAAAGAGGCTTAACTAGTTGTTTTAATTTGCATTTCTTTGATTAGTAGTGATGAATATTTTCCCATGTTTTCCAGTTGTACTTAAACTTTTCTGTAAATTATCTATTCATATTTTTTGTTCATATTTTTTCTTATACATTATACTGTGTTGAAGGCCCTAGATAATATAAACCCCATGCTTTGTCACRTTTATGTCACAGAGACTTTTTCAGTCTGTTTAGATTTTATTTTTAAAATGGTCCAAAAACTTTAAAAAGTAATACTGGTTTTAAAATTTTATATAGTCAGCTTGGATCTTTTCCTTTGAGAATATTCTCCATTACTTCCTAAGCTTAGAAAACGAGTCCCTGTTAGAAGCTTGATAAATATTCATTCATTTCAGTTTTTATAATCAGCTTTTTTATATTTAACTCTTCAATCCAACTGCCACTTATGTTAGTTTATTATGGGGATGAGGGTATAAATTCTTCAAGCTGTCACAATATTATTTATGAACAATCATTTCTATTCTCATTCACTTGCAATTCATCTTTTATAATAAACTCTTACATATTACCTGTCTAATCTAATATTAGTGGTATCAATGTTTTCGTTATTCTAGTTGTATATGTTTAATATCTACTAGCATTCATTCTTTATTACTCTCCTTTTACAGAATTTTCTTT